CCATCGAAAAATTGAACGGTAAAATATTTCCATGAAAATTTAAATGGATATATATTGCAGTAGTAGTATAGTTTTTGTTGAAAATTTTCAATAGATATTCCAACGAAGATTCAACACTAAAATATTTTGTTGGAATTGGAATTCTCTTAGAATTTTAGTCTGAATTTAATGGTTCCAATGATCATTTTTTCAATTTTTTTTTCCATTGAAATATGAAATTTTTATTAGAAATTTTTCCAAGTCATATTTCAATCGGTGAAAAAAATAGTGACTGAAATCGTCAAAATTCAACAAAAAATTAATAACGACTATTTCCTTTGGAATTTTCAAGAGACTAATAATATTGCAATATATTTCTGTTGTAATTTCATTATTCTCTTGTAGTGGTTACGTTCTTTTCAAGTTCTGCCGATAAATACCCTTCGAATTAACGATTCATATCAACCCAAAACTCTTTCCCTCACAAGAATTTGTGATCTTCTATTGGAATGAATGTTCTATTTTCTTTTCTTGTAATAGGGTTGCCACCTTTTACGGTGAGACCGCATGCATAGGATACAACTCAGTGCCTTGCATAATGCTTACAAAAAAAGTGAGTTGTTCATGAATTAATACAGTAGTTGAAAAGCAGCAGAGGGGATCGATTTATATTTATTGGTGACAATTTAATTGGTTAATTAATTTTTATTTTCTTTTTTTCATGTTTCATAAATTGAGCTTGAACCACTCTTTTGTTTCCTATCCCTAGTTACTGTCTGCATTAGCCCAACAGATTTTGGCTGTTTTTACATAAAAAAGGAATTTGAAATTTATGTGTGTAAATAAATTATATATTAGAGACAAATTTTACATAGATTATAAAAAAATGATAAAATTCAAACAAATATAATTTAGTGGAAAATTGAATACTAATGACATATTCCAACAGAAGCTCGCGCGGATAAAAGCTCGCGCGGACAAGCATATTTCGTTAGAATTACTTTTCCATTAGAATTTTAATTGAATTTTGACGATTCCAACTCTTTCTTAGGAATTTATGATTTTTTTTGGGAAATTGACATAAATTATATAAATTTCAAAACACACAAGTAAATAACTGTGANTCTTAGGAATTTATGATTTTTTTTGGGAAATTGACATAAATTATATAAGTTTCAAAACACACAAATAAATTAATAATGATATTGTTTTCTCAATTAAGGTTCATTTACTCAAACGAGTGAAATTCGAACAACTAATCAAACTCATTTATTAAACGAGTTGAGCAGAGCTTGTTCCCGAAAAACTAGTTTAAATTTTAATATCTTTTATAATTTTGAACAAACAGTCGATCCGAGCATATTCGCAAACACTAAAATCGACGAACAACTCATTTACTATTTTCAATTTGTTGAAGGAGCTGAGCCATACTTAGCTTAAATGATCACGAGCTCGAACACAAAGTGCTCGAAAGCAACTATCTAATGGCATGTTTTTTTTATGGATCTAATGATAAAAAAAACATCAATATATATGGAGTAATCATCTCAAAGTTTTGTGGACACTCCAAATATATATAGGGTGAATCTCACAACATTTTTATTACTAGAAAATCCCTTATGTTGTTGTGCATTAACAAATCAAAATATGGAAAACACAAAACTCTACTACTAAATACTAATTTGTATATGTAGTAATATAATCCAAATAAAATAAAATAAAATAATATAAAAACTGATGAAAATTGGTATCTTCCGAACTTATCCCGAGGCTCTGGAATTCCGAGAGGAATTTTCTTCTCCATTCCTCCCCCACGCACAACCCTAACACGAAAAGACTAAAATGCCCCCAAATCCACCCAAAAAGCTTCACAAACAGACAAACCATGACAACAGTCAAAACACTAATATTTATTCTCCATTTCGTCACACTGACCAAAAACTCTCACCCCCAACAAAACCAGCAAAAATATTCTTGGGTTTTCAAAAAAATTAATCAAAAAAAAATAAAGTAAAGTTTCCAAATAGAATTAAGCTCAATTCATGGATTCTCCGTCTCGATATCTCTGTGCCGTCAGCATCCGGTCGGCCGATCGATCGAACTCTTTCCGGCGGCATGATTCCGGGAAACGACCTCCGGCGACCGGCGGAGGCTCCGGCGCCAGCGTCCGGCCGTACGTGAGGTCAAAGCTGCCTCGACTGAGGTGGACGCAAGATCTCCACCAGAGCTTTGTAAGGGCTGTTGATCGACTCGGAGGAGAAGATAGTAATTTTCGTTTTCATTTTTATGTTTATTTTTTTTAATTTATTTTTACCTTTTTTTTTTGGGGATAAAAATTGCATGTGCATGGAGAGTAAAGAAGAAAGAATAATTTTTACCCTTGATTTCAATTTTTTTTTACTAGGGGTAAATTGATTTTGAGTGTGGTAAATTAATTATTATTTATTTTTGGTTTTATTTTTAGGGGCAACTCCAAAAATGGTTCTTGAGCTAATGAATGTGAAAGGGCTATCGATAACACACGTCAAGAGTCACCTACAGGTGAAAATCATATAATACTTATACGGTTAAATATATAAATCTATTGTGTAATTATTAAATTTATTTATTGGAGAATGGATTTTTGGGTATGATTTAATCATTTTAGGAATGCATATATTTAATTTGTATTTTCACTCATCAAGACTTGTCACCAAAATTTTTTTATCTGATTTTTTTTTTAACATGTACAGATGTACAGGAGCATGAAGCATGAGCAGATTATGCAGGGTATGTTTAAATTGCACAAAAATTGATGTTAATAATAATAGCAGTGACTTGTTAAAGTTTAGTTACAAAATTAAAATTTGAAAAGGTCTAATATATAATTGAACTTCTTATCAGCAAGATTTCAAAATTAGTACTATATTGACTACTTTTCAAAAACAAATTGGTCCGCTCTCATAAAAATTGGTTCACAAAATTGCAATTTTTTTTTAACACTTTCTTGTCCTCTAATCACCTCTTTGGAATTAAATGATGACTTGGACGGATTGATGCCGATGTGTAATTTTTAATGTACAAGTAATGTGACATGTAAAATCAACCTATAATTAAAATTATTTTCCACCTGTAAAAATCTTGCTATGATGCCACCTTTCTCACACGTAATTACTTCTCACAGCCAAAAATTTAAGGTTAAAAAAACTATTCAATACCCTTATGCCTCCAGCCTCATGCGTCAAAATATAACACTACACTGATTTAATTTGCAGAGACACAATGTAGTTCCAGGTGGAAAAACTGGAGATGAAAATTACATATCATCAGTCCACGTCATTATCTAATCCTGTCCATGTCATCATTTAATCATAGATGGGGTGATTAAAAGACCAAAAATGATAAAATTCGCAACCTTAACATACTTATTTCTATGATGATTAATAAAACGGTCAACGGATCAAATTTGAAAGTGATAAGTATAATGGACCAAAATATTTTACCCTAACGTGTTTGTAAGACATTTTAATCGTGATTATTTATATAATCTTAACCAAAAAAATATTCCCTGCTCTAATTGGTGGATTGCCACTAATCCACCGTTACTTTTTTACCTTGCATGATTAAATGTCTCATAAAATCAAAGAATAAACCAACTAAATAATCCATATATACCTAACAATAATTTTCTCACTTCAAAAGGTTGAATATGCCAATTTGGGATGCAATTGGATACCCTTAAATCCAAAAATGTCTTTCTAAATTACACATGTTTTGTTTAGATTTCATTATTCATACATTCATGTTCATATATCAAATCAACTTTAATCCCTTAATATGATGAACCTTACAAGTGCTTTAATCTCTTATATCAAACAAGTGTTTGGTCAACTCGATTGAGAAAAAAAGAGCTAGGAGCTTCGCGAATAAGTGCAAAGTTCATATCTACTTGTGATTAATGCTTAATATATATATATATATATATATATATATATATATATATATATATATACATGTAACTTAGTTTCTATACATAAATTGGAAGAAAAATTTATAATGTCTACTTGACAGCTAAATCATCCATTAATCTATAGCAGAATCTCTAGTTGAAATGAGCAAGAAAGTTCAAGCCACTTCACTTCCAAATGAGTTAAATCATCCTGACCGTACTTTGGGATTACTCACCAGCCAAGCCCTTGCCCTTGACATTCATGCAATAAGGTACTCAAAATCTATTTCAAAAAGTGAAGCCTTTTGATAGGACGTTTTACAATTAATACAAGTTATTTCTATTAACTTTTAGGCACGAGGAAACAAAGCCAATTGGAATAAGCGCGGAAAATAGGCGTACATTCAATGACTCGGTTATTTTCAACGACTTATTCAGAAGCTGCAAACCACAAACTACGGATTATGTCGATGTGAGACATTTTTTAGTTCATTTTTCATACGAAAAGTTAAGAATTTAAGCTATTGAATTTGTTTCTGTCTAACATCGTTGTTCCATGTAAATTTCAGATAGACAAGGCAAAGGACACAAAATATCACGCAAACATTAGTAGCAACACGAGTAATCCTGCTATTCGAGTTTCATCAAGAGAATGCGCGTGTTTTATGGACTCGAACGATGTCTCGCTAGAGCTAACTCTTGGCTAGTTAAATTATTGGTACATAAAACTATGTTCTTATTAGTATTATTAGCACATTATGTTGCAAGTTAGGGTTGCTTAAGATAGTTATGTATACTATCTCCTTTTAGCATGTAGCTCTTTGGTTTAATTTGCTTTATTATTATTAACTATTGGGATCTTGTTTCTTATTGCTCAATTCAAATTTTTCTCTCCTTATCAATATTACATGTCATGATCAACAATTCGAGAATCATGTTCCGATTCTTTTTTTTTTTATTTCATTAGATGAATGACACGTTTTTATATTGGCACTGTAATTAATTATACATGTGCCAATCATCAAACAAAATGAAAATGGAAATTGGAACATGATTTTACATCAAATTCCACCACAATTATTATTCATTTGACAGATTTTTTATGAACATTGGGAAAACATAAAAAAATTTTGTGCAGTAAGCATAATTATCTCATAGTGGCACATTCTAGTTATTTTATTTTGTTACCCTGAATGGGTCAAGCCCATCTGAAAACGGATTACAAGAAAGAAATCTGTATAACCCATTAATATATAGCCCAATTATAAGTACTTTATTTGATCCAGCAGGCTACGAAACCAAAGCCCATGAATAGATGGGAGAAGAACACTATACAATCAATTTTCCCCGTATGAAAAGTTTTCTTCATTCAAATTGCAATTTTTAAAATTATAAAATATTTGTTAACTTTAAATATTTATTGAAAAAAAACATTTTTTTATCTGTAGGTAATATTGCACTATCTTTATAAATAAAAATTAAATTGTCAAATCAATCTTATATTTAAAAATAATAATATCTATTAATTAAATAAATTTACCTAGGTCTATTATATGTTGCGGGTTACGGAATGTTATTAAAATATAGAATTAGTGAGTCTTATAAATGATAGAATGTCTTTAAATTAATACCATGTAAAAAGGAAAGCTTACAAGAATAAAATCACTTATCCAATACGAATTGTAACATGAATTCTCTACCTTTAAAATTCGTTAAATTATGTGTAAATTTGGAGAGCAAAAAACACAAAATAAAGTAATGTGTGAAGTATACTCTGCATATCAACTAGTATGAATCCCATGCAGTGCACGAGTAATAGATATTCATTAATATTTATAAATTAAATTCTTATTAAACAATATTTATAAATTAAAAATATGAAATCTATATTTTTGGCCGAATAAAAAAATATATATGAAACAATATAAATTCTGTACTTTATAATTTAATAAAAAATCTATTCAGAAATAAATTTCTATAGTTTAATATATGAACCGATATAAACTATAGATCATGTCCCGTCTAAAAATAGTTTAATATATGAAACAATATAAACTATAGACTAAATTATTATTTTTGTATAAACTATTCAGAAACTATAAATTTATTAAACTATAAATAATTGACAATTTCGGTTACGTCTAAATTAATATTGACCCGTAAGTTATGAATAATTATTTTTTTGATTTCTAATTTTAAATAAAAAATAATTTTATTATTTTTCAATATATTATACAAAATTTAAACCATGCAACTAATAAAGATAATAGCCGCAAGTTTTGTCAATATATTATATACCAAATTTAAATCATGCAACTAATAAAGGTAATAGTCGCAATACTTGACCAAAAATGATTCTGTACAATAATTACATTAATTTAGGCGAGATTTTTCAAATTTTGGTCAAAAAATTTACCCAATTTAGTAAATTTGAATTTTTAGGCGGGAAGCAAATGTGTTTTTATTGATTTTTAGTTACTATTTCAAGTAAATATTATTGTCTCTTTATATATAGATAGATGATAGATTATCAAGTCAATTTATTTCTCCAATTTATTTTATCAATTTACTCTTTCAACTTTACACGCTCCATTTTCTCAATTTAAACAATTTATACTAATATAATCTCCTTTATCTTGACAAGTATTTATAATCAATTCACCTATATGTTTATTATTATGTACTCTTTTCCATAGACCTTAGGCTGTCTCTTTCTTTCTTTCTTCTTCTTCCTAAGACCATTATAATTGAGCATGTAAGTATGACTGTGTCAACGTAACCTTTTTTTTAATAAGTTAATAAATCAACTAAACAACGGAATTATGCCAGCTAGATGATCCAATTCCAATCCCAAGCACCTATTGAAAATTGAAACCGACATTATAGCTCAAGAGATTCAGTCGAATTGACCAATCAGACGTTAAAATTAATTTAAATTTCATTACAAAATTTGTATAAATTAAACTTAAACAATTTTAACATAGCTCAAAAAAGTCAAATTGTAGTATAAATATATTTAATAATTTTAAATTTTTCAATTCGTAATTTAAATAAAAAATAAATGCTTATTTCCATATTTTTAACATTATTAATGTTTGCAAATATAGTTAATCTGTTAAGTACAGAACCATGAAGCAAAACAACTAATAAAATAAAATAAAATAAAATAAAATAAAAGGATGAAACACAAATACAGACAAAAAGGGTAAAGACAATATTTGATTTCACTTTCTTTCACCTTTAGAAATTTCTATGATCCGATAGGGAAATTGTTTCACATGAAAACATGTGGAAAATCACATTTTCCAAATCCCCGAAAAGAAGAAAAAACGAAAAAAAAAAAATAACAAATTAATTAGACGCATTGTACGGCGGATTAGTACGGCGGCGGTGCCCATCTACAACGCCACACGTCGAATTATTTATTTTTATTATATATTTATTTTAATTTTTCATATTTTATTTAACAGATTACCATTTGAAAGCGCAACGTTGACTAGCGCTTCTTATTCATGACGACATGAGTGGCGCGAAAAGTCAAACAACGTATCTCACTGTCTCATTTAATAATGAGTATCGTATCCACACGGTAACCTAATGTTTCTTATTTATTAGTATTAGTTTTTGTAAAAAAAATAAAAAAAAAAAACATCCAAAACTTGCGTCGACTTAAATTAAATACATTGACATTAAGAAGAGTGTAAATTATACATCCATTATTTATCAATCAAGGCTGAAATTTCGTTTTTGTGTTAGTAATTTACAGTCACTATATAAATTTTATAGCAAATAATTATATCAATGTTATGTGTGTTGTGAAATATTGTATGCGCCATTAGTTTGTCAACATGGCTCGATTGACATTATTGTGTTTAATTTGATTGATTATAATATAAATTTGATTTTATAGAATTTTTTGCAACAAAAGAAAGTTTTGCACATCTAAATGGTGATACATTATATAACAAACACTTAAAGGTTTAGAATTGTACACCTTCATAGTTATAGTACATTATGTACAATAAGAATTTCGTGTAATTGAATATTTATGATAGTGAAGTCTACACTATATTTATTACTTTGTGAAATATTCAAGATGATGATTTGACATTATTGGAATGGATAATATCAAAGCAAATTGCATTTTGAAGCATCTTGTCAAGAAATTTATAAGTCTTAAGCCTATTTTCTATGTCGAATACGTGTCGTGGAGTATGATGGCCGATGTTGTTGACCTCGCAAGAATTAGAATATACTTATCAAGCCTTTCTCAAGTCTGTGAATAATTGAATCCATAATTAAAAATTTAAAACATAACAGTATAAATTTTTACTTAAATTTAAATAATTCTGAAGAATAATAAATTAATACTAACTCTCATAAAAGTAGATATAATATTTATTTTATATATGAAATATTAATATAAAATCGAAGGTCGTGAAAAAAATTTATTTAATGTATCATATATCTAAAAAAAAAAAATAGTACAAACAAAAAAGTTACTAAAGTTTTACAATAAATTACACAAGCATATAAATTTATGTTAGTATATTGAAATATTGGCATAAATTATATTCAAAATAATGACCAAATATGTAAAAATTTGGTTAACCCAAATAAATTCAAATTAATTAATTTAGATCAATATAAAATCAATATGGACTAATTTAATATAAAATGTGATATAACATTTTTTAGTAACATTGTTGTTTTCTTGAACAATTTATGTATATTAGTGAAGATAAAAATAATAGCAGGTTAATCTGACATATGCATTACGCAATATTCACGTATACATGAAAAACTAGTAAAACGATAGTGAAGGGTAAAAAAATAACGTTAAAAGTAAAATTACATGCACGTGCAACTCACCATTTTAATACGCGCGTGCCGATCATAAAAGATAGTACCAACCAATTTCACCCATTTTTAACCTACGTAGACTAGGTAATGTTGCAAAATTACTTAATCATTTAATCTATATAGTTAATTGAAACAGCAAAGTTAGATTAAATAAAGAAAATAATAATAAAGTGACCATGTATGTAAAAATTTGCATATTAAACTTTATCCTTGTATTATTACATCAAAATAAACTTGTGTTCATGCCACAACCCACTGTAACAAATTAATAATGAGTACACAAAAAAGACAAAAAACAAAAATAGATGGATATGATTAAAAACCATCACTGGTTGTTTAATTTCTGATTATCCACATTATTATTTACTTCGCCGCCGTTCGCTGGATTTCCGCCGATGATTGAGGAGATTGCCGCCGCCAGCGCCGCCGTGAACTTTGGGTCGGCCGCCACCGCCGCCAGCGTGTCGACAAACGCTGGCTGTTGGCCGGTCGTTGGCGGGTGGAGGCCCGAGAACTTGGACTGATTATAAATGGCCTGGCCCAACATCTGTGGAACGTGGGCCGGGCCAAAGCCCGAATGGGCCGGTTGGAATGGCACATGGAATTGTGGGCCGGGCCTCGGGAATTGGGCCGGGTTGGGGTTTTGGGTGAGGTCGAGCGTGATCGTGGGAAAAGGGGCGGAGGCTGAGATCGTGGCCATGTTGGTGGAGCAAGGAAGGATCGTTCGAGCGAAGAAGTTAGGGTTCGTTAGGCCATCTGCGCTCGGCATTGCGCCGGAGAGGAGCATGTTGGCAGCGGATGACGTGGTGGCGGCCATAGCCATGGCGGCAGGCGGCAATGGGTG